CAATATGGAAGTGAATTGACACAGACACTATTTTGAGTTAGCTTATAGCTCATATAAGTGGAATTTATACTTCTGCTGTGTCTTTATGCCTGCACCAGACTGTTTCAGATTCAGATTCAGAATTCTCGTAGCGCATGTGTCGTTATTCCAGGCCTCTCTCTCCTCTCCCAAAGCAGGTTCAGCACTTTTGACAGATGTGCCCAGACTTCACCGTGGCCAATGTCATTTTAACCACAAAATAATCCCCATTCAAAGTCAAGACAGTGCACTTTTTAAGAAACCATCTCCTCTCTCCGCCCGTCACGTTCGGGAACACGGTTGTGGATGTCCCTTTTCTTCGGCACCGCGTTAAATCTAATCTGCTTGATGCGTGTGGAGAGCGAAGCAAAGCGTGTAAGGATGGAGAGGGACAAAGGGGAGGGGCGCGGAGACAGAGAAAGACGGAAAGGAAAGAAAGAAAATGAAGAAATTGAGATAGGAGAGAAACAAAACGAGGGAGGATATCGCTTAGATAATCAGATAGATTGTTGTAAAGTGAGAGACGGTGGTGAGAAAGGAGATGGTACGATAAAAGGAGAGAGGAGGGAGAGAAAGAGAGATAGACAGACCCCCCATCCCCCTTCCTCCTACCCCCGGCCTGTAGCAGAGAGGAAAAGAAAGAGCCGGGCCGAGATGCTCCACAGCCACGGAGAAAAGACTGCGCGAAAAGAAGATATTTGAAAAGCCACGAGTCCGCTGTCACGCCGCCTCCTGTGTGGACGAGGCGAGCTCTTTGTTACCCACGAGCATGAATACTGAGTGGATGTAAAGGGGGAAAAACTCAAGGAAGAAAGAGAGGCGAAAGAAAGACAAAATATTCGTGCGTAAAAAAGCGTAAAAGCGAAAAAGATCCCAAGACGAAAACGTGGCCTGTTCGCTTTCTTTTCAGTGTTTCCTTCACGTTTTGAAACCACATTTTAATCCAAACTTTGCTTTCCTTTTTTTTAGATAAAGAGATAGACTGAATGAATAGACATACACTATTGAAAAACAACAGGAAAAGACGAAACACTGAAAAGCCTACATCTAAGAGAAAGCGCTTTTGTTTTTGTAAGTGCCACTTGCAGGACTTTCTATTTACAATACTTCTTTTGCTAATCTTCTTTTAAACCCATACGATTACTTCCACGTCTTCCTTTAAAAGCATTATTCTTGTCACGTTGCGCGGTTGCTTTGCGTGGGCTTAAAACCATCCACTCGCGAGGTTTATACTGTACTTTGAATGCGGTTTCATTTCACAAACAAACGCGCGCAGATCCTATAGTACACAAGGGGGGCTAATCCTCCTCCCCTCCGGATACAATCACCTTTATGCAAACACGTGGGCCCCTGTCTGAGCACTCATCTGAAGAGAGGAGAGGGGGGCGCGCACAGGTGTCCAAGCCCTCCCCAAAACGCTCTCACGCACACACACACACAGAGCCAGGGGACTAATGATACACGCTGTTAAAAGGGCTGGAGGTGGAGAACGCATCAGAATAATTAGCACTCTGAAATACAAAACAGTGCATCAATTCGTTGCATATGTGCTCCTTTATTTCAAAGTATTGGTTTACGCAAAGTCACTGGAGTGGCGTGCGTAAATTGGCTCTTGTTGGATAGAAACAAAGATGCGTAAAAGTGTGAAGTTTAGAGGTTGAATATATGTTTTTAAACCAAGATCTCTACTTTATTTTTCATTTCAAACCAGTATTAGTTTACACAAAGTCATTGGAGTGGCGTGCGTAAATTGGCTCTTGTTGGATTGAAACAACATCGCGTGAAAGTATGAAGTTTAAAGATTAAATATAAGTTTTTAAACCAAAAACACTTCCTCATCTTTCATTTCAAAAGAGTATTGGTTTACACAAAGTCATTGGAGTGGCGTGCGTAAATTTGTTCTTGTTGGATTGAAACAACGATGCGTAAAAGTTTGAAGTTCAGAGGTTGAATATATGTTTTTAAACCAAAAACACTTCCTTATCTTTCATTTCAAATGAGTATCGACTTACACAAAGTCATTGGAGTGGCGTGCGTAAATTTGCTCTTGATGGATTGAAACAGAGATGAGTAAAAGTATGAAGTTTAGAGGTTAAACATATGTTTTTAAACCAAGAACAACGAGTATTTTTTTTTCCATAAAGTCATTGGAGTGGCGTGCGTAAATTGGCTCTTGATGGACTGAAACAAAGATGCGTAAAAGCATGAAGTTTAGAGGTTAAATATATGTTTTTAAACTAAGAACAACGAGTACTGGTTTCCAAAAAGTCATTAGAGTGGCGTGCATAAATTGTCTCTTGTTGGACTGAAACAAAGATGCGTAAAAATATGAAATTTAGAGGTTAAACACATGTTTTTAAACCAAGATCACTTCCTTATTTTTCATTTCAAACCAGTATTGGTTTCCATAAAGTCTTTAGAGTGGTGTGCGTAAATTGGTTCTTGTTGGATTGAAACAAAGATGCGTAAAAGTGTGATGTTTAGAGATTAAATATGTGTTTTTAAACCAAGAACACTTCCTCATCTTACATTTCAAACTTCTACAATTTGCTAATTTATTTTAAAACTGCACACAATGATGAGTGTACGTGTATGGATGTTATTTCACTTTTACGCACAAGGTTTTGGCCCGTATCTTGGCCCGTATTTGTTTACACTTTTCCTCTGACGCCTGCGTAAGTCTGATCGCAAGCCACCATTTGTCACGCTGAAGTTTTTTTCTTGTGGATGGAGGGGGTAAAGAGGGTCAGGGAGCTTTAACTCGGTGACAAAGCCTCATTTGCAGGTCAATGCGATGGCACACTCGCCTCTTCTCTCCATCCAGCTCCGCCTTTGTTCGCTGTCGCCTGCGCTGATGCCAGATGGTCATGGAAAATGCTAATTCCCTTTGGCTTATTTTTGCGGAGTTTTTCTATAATTGCAGTCTTCTTTGCGCACTGTCTCGTTACTGCTCTGTTTAGTACAACTGAAAGGCTTTTGTTCCTCTCTATCAATCTCTGTCAAATTGAGAAGCTATTTTTAGTGCAGTATAAAAATAAAACAACCACAACAAAACATAATTAGTCTTATATAGATTCTAGAATATGTTGGTGTTTTTCAGATTGTAATTTTTTGTCATGGTTCTAACTGGGGGCAAGAATTTAAAAGATAAATTCATAAATGTTGAACTTAATCGTATTTAGTTGGTGACTAGACCCTACAGAACTCACTATTACTACAAAAATCTGCATTTTGCCACTATTTATTTTAGCTACCCCCAATTTGTAATAAATATTTTCACCTATAGAATGCTGTGATGTTATTCAAAACCAAGCAATTTTGTTTACTATCGAATACAGTTAAATAAAGTACTAGAAATACTACTAATAATAACTATAATTGTTGTACCTGCGTATAACTTGGTGCGTAAAAGCTTTCCTTGACTGACTACAAACATGGGCCTAATCCAGTATTGATTTCTCTGCATAGGTTCACCAATCCATATTTAATGCTCCACATTATTATGATGGATTGATATTAGGCCGTGGGAGTTAAGAGAGGTCACATGGGGGCTATAGAAGGCCCAAGGGTGTCCCGGCAGCTGGCTTTATAATCGTATTCTTTTGTATGGAGCTTGTTAATCAGCGCTGTATGTTCGCTGTCACTTCTTTCCTTTATGACCCTTTCAATGTACAGCAGACCCGAATTAAGATGTAATTGTCATATACATTTTCTGTGGGGCCCTGAGAGAAACGACTCTGTTATTTAAATGTGCGTAAAATGTTCAAAAATGTCATTGTGGATCTAACTGGCGCTGCGCTTCAGACATTGACCTATGACCTCCACTGCACGGACTGTATTTTAGAACACAAAGTAGAGTTAAAGTTGTGTTTATTGGGACACAGTTTAAACAGCGACGCAGACAAATAAAAGAATATGACCCTTTAACTCGAGGCGGACTAGAATGTGTCCAGTCCAGACAGACACGGACTTCATTAAAGTAACTCATGCGCAGCTGTTGTCTTTAACATGTAAACTATTGAGATTTTAAAAGTCCTCTCAAAGGCCTCTTGGCTCCCCCTGGGCATATGGGCGTTAATTAGCTGGATATAGCCATAGATTAATTATAATATTTTTTTCAGCCATTGGTTTCAATAGAGCAGCCAGACAAAGTGGCTTTTGTTCTGTGATGCGGGACATTCTGCGGCTGACTGAATGGGTCTTGGCCATGTCTACATGGATTTGCCATATGGCAACAAAAAGGAAAGAATGGAGCCGCACAGAGCTTTGTGCTCGGACTCAGAGCTTATGGCTGCGCAGATCTGCCAAAGTCATCGCGCCGTCAAGAGTCTCATTTATGAAAACAGAAGAGCAGATAGCTTCATCAGAGCACGCACAGATATGTACAGAATATGACAGTCTGTGGGTTTGTGGAGAGGAGCGCGCGGACGAGGCCTGTGTTTTCAGCCTTCTTTCAATTAAGAGTAAACTTGCAAGTCTGACCCGCTGAATGGTTTGTTTCAATAGAGCTGGACAATTACAAAGACACGTAGTTTTCTTTTTGCGGCTCTGGCAGGTGGCCTCCACGCCCGGTGTATCGAGGCCGGGGTAAACACTGTGTGAGTGGGTCTTTAGAGGGGCTCGAGTGCGGGAGGATGGGGGTGTCTTCGGGGGACAAAGCGGGATCCAAAGGCAGCTGCTGCTTCTTTAAAGAGGCGAAAGGCCCTTTAAATCCGCCCGTGTCCCGCAGCTGCTCAGCTGCGTAAAGGCCTCAGGACGCACAGAGGTACCTGTGCCGCGGGCAGACGGACACCTGTCTGATCCGATCACTGCGCACTGGGCCTTTTATTTGGCTAAAGCTTAAGGCGTGTTTGTGTGTGTTTTGCTGAAGTAAAGGTTATGTTTGACCTTGTGCCCCACAACCAGTGTTCAAGAAAAGAAATGAGTTTACTTGAGTAAATATGCAGATATGAGAAAGTAGTTTCAAATTCACACCAGAAATATACATTTGTTAAAGTGAAAAAATATTTTATTTTCACCATTTGCAAAGTCACGGAACGGCTCAGAACACAAAGAAACTATCTTCAAGTGTCAACTATGAAGCTACATGATTGCAAAACATCACGACAAACGAATAAAACAATAAAATTATGCCCTTTGGCTAAAACAAGGCATCAACAAAGATACATAAATAAATTATAAGTTAGAATAGTTTAAAAATATACATTTACAGATTACCAGAGAAGAATAAACATTATTGTCTCTATAAAGCTGTACACTTTTGGCCAGTGTAGACATTTAGAAGTCATAGGATTGCACAGATGTTAAACATTTAACACTGTCGAGTGGCTGAATGCTACATTTGTACTGGATAGAGTCCTCTCACATCAGGGTGGTTTCACAAGAGTCTTAGACTTAGGCTTAATATTATACTCACAAAACATTTTCCATGAACAAGCTTAAATTAGAAATGCGGCAAACATGGTCTCACATCCGCGTTGCCTCTAGCACCGACTTTGAGCCAGTCTTTGTTGTTGTGAACTGGTCAAATCACATTTCAGGCGAGTATAAAACAAAATTCAGTCCAAAATGTTGCTATTTTAGTGAAACCGGTCCCTCCCATGTCCCCGGCCCTGAGTCCAGCTCGATGCGCGCTGCGCTGCGGAGCCCTTCACCAGAGAAAGCAGTCACGGCTCGGCCTGCTCATCCACACACACACCGCTCTCCAGAAGTCCCGTCTCCACCGTTTAACAGGAAGAAGAGTGCTCCTTGAGGTCCAAATGCTCAGACAGTAGTGCAAAATCACCTGCGGAAGAGAGAAAAGCCGTGAGTCTCCAGCGCCAGAGCCGCACTTTCTTTGTGTGAAAAAGACGCGTCAGCTCCGGGGAAGCAGGAGCCAGAGCAGCAGGCGTCGCCCACTTTACACAAGCCTGTTCCCGCCACTTCGTGACGCACACTCCCCTCCCCCAACTACTGTTACTCAATACACCCATGGTCTTACTACAGCTACTACTATCTCCACCGCTGCGTTTCTCCGGCGCTGCGGCTCCCCACCCCCTCCACAAATAAACTGGCCCTGGCTTTAGCCTCACGTAACCAAAAAGAGTTTCTGAACAGACACGTGAACATATGAAACACAAGAGACTAGAGTCACTTGAAATCTCTCATTTAAGCTTAACATTGTACATATGAATAAAAGTCAGCGTTTACCTTCAGCGGATCCTTTTCCTCGGGGTCTGCTCCAGCGGGATGGGGGACTTTGTGGACTGGTGGCAGGAGCTCACATCAGCAGCTTTTCTCTCCACGACCTTCTTGCGTTTTACGAAGAAGTCTGGGGAAAAAAAGATGAAGGCGTTTAACTCTAAGGAAGGTGAAATAAAGGCTTTAACTGACAGCAGTTGTAGAGGAGTTGAGGTGGAGATGGAGCGCGTCTTACCGGTGATGTGAGTGTTGTCAGAGGGGACGGTCCTCTTGCGTTTGACGCCGGGGACGAGTCTGTGCGCCTGCTTCCCTGAGTTCAGCTTGTCTTTACGGTTCTCCTGGTTCACTTCGGTGGGACATGGAGCGCTGCTTTCAGGAGCGGACAGACGCTCCATCACGCTCAGGCGCGGAGTGTCAGGCACCAGCGGCTCTTCCACTGGTCTCCTCTTCACGGGCGTAGACGGGACGTGCGTCCTGCCGCTGTGGACAGAGTCCTGATAAAATGCCGGTGTCTCATCCACAGACACCTCTTCCCACTCGTAGAGCCCGTCCAGCGGGGAGTTCACCTCGAAGTTAAAGTTCCAGCGCTCCTGGTCCCGCTCGGAGATCTCCCGGAGCTTGTCCTTCATCTCCCGGTGCAGCTCGTCGTGGTCCACGGGGCCGAAGAGGTTTCGGCAGACGCGCTTCTGCAGAGGGAGGGTCCGCCGGTCCATCAGCCGCTCCAAGGCGCTGCTCAACAGCTGCACGTTCGACATGTCCAAATATGTCCAAACAACAACAGAGGATAGAGTCCGAGTATTCCTGAGATCAGGTGGTCGCTGTTCTACTGCGTAAGTCCGTGCGCTTTTGCTCTCACACTTGGTTTAAATGTACCTTTCGTCAGCTCTCCGGGGCATATAAACCCCTCCGCTCTGCAGACAGCAGCCTCCTGATTGGCTGTTCCATGTCCGTCCCTTCGCCACAGAAATCACTGCCCCCTCCTCGCGCTTTCCCCGCCCCCCTCTGCTCCGTTTGGCTTTGTGCCACAGCAGAGCGCAGCGTTTTGATTTTGGATGTGGATTGGAGTAAGTGGAGTTTCCACAAGTCACGTGGTCATCTGCGCTCACGCTGTCGGTGAGTCACTCAGGTTTACAGACACGTCTTTACGCACGCTACTGTGCGTGAGTGGAATATGCTGAGTCCGCACTAATTCAGGCAGTTATTTAAGCCAAAATGTGCCTCAGAATAGATGCACAAATCCACACGCGCTGCGTGTTCACACAACCCAAACACAACCCAAACACGACCCAAACACAACCCAAACACAACCCAAACACAACCCAAACACAACCCAAACACAACCCAAACACAACCCAAACACAACTGAAACACAACCACAGCACAGCCCAAACACCAGGGTGCTCTGCCCCGCTGTTGGACCACAGTAAAGTGCACTGCTACAGGCCTAAAGTCATCTCCTTTCCCCAGTTTAGTAACTTCTTTATTAGGCCTTTTCACTTATCCAGTAATAGAGCCGATCTCTTGTGTTTACAGTGTTTACAGTGTTTACAGTGTTCTCTGAAACTCTCTCATCGGATCTGGTCAGTGCGGCTTTGATATTGAAGATTTTCTGTGTCAGACAAACGGAGACCAAGTATAGATGGAAAATGTTTGTATAGCACAGATAGAAAAGGACATGGATGCAGAGCGCCCCCTAGCGGATACAGAGCTACAATACAAAACAGCAAACAGCAACCGGTCAGATCAAGACAGAAAGGTCCCTTCAACAACAGATACTGGAAAAAAATCTATCAGAACTAGTATAACACTTCATATAAAAAGAATCACTGCATAAGTATTTTGTTGTGGTGCTATTGAAACTGGCATTGGGACTTAAAGGCCCAGACTGCACTGGTTACTCATCTATGTTCTAATTAGATTAGATTAGATTAGATTTAGATTTATTTATTGTCATTGTATGAAATACAACGAAACTTCAACAGAGCAGATCTGTAGCAGTAAAAAAAAAAAAAAAAAAAAAAAAAAAAAAAAATGTTTACTCATGTTTCTGTCACACACGTTTAACACACAACCCCTGTACATTTATTTGTTCTAACAAACAGAAAACACTTCTTTTTTAAACTCCACACACTTTCACTAGAATTATTTGGATGATTTCAGCCCTTTTAAACGCAGCTGTCATCTTGGAAACTGTAGCTTCATGACATCACAAGGTGGAACAGAGCATTTTGAGCTTTGCAGATGTAAATTCACGAATAATGCAGGATTATGCAAACGTGTGAGTGAAACAAAACACCACTCCAGGTGTGTTTGAATGATTTAACATTCTTAACATGAGTTAAATCTCACAAGAGTCACTTTTGCTTAATATAGAACCTTTAAGATTTAAGTTTAAATAGAAGTTTAAGCATTTACTTTAAAATGAATGATACTTTTATAACCTCTTCTATGTCAGAACATGTGCCTGATGTGTTTCCAGTTTGTCAGGTGAGTGACAGGTGAAAGCTCCATCACCTTGTGTATGAGGCCCTGTCCTGCAGCAGAGGCGCTGGATGCTAATGTAAAGTACATATACACAGTGTTGTGAGTATTTCCAAGTACTCAGCCTCAGGACAAAAGTGTCAGAGACAAATGCCTAACCTGTGTTTGTGACTGTTGGGCACAACTCCACTTAAAACAAGAAAAACAACAACTTTTTGCACTTAAAATAAGAAACAAAAATCTAATGTTGCTTGAATTAATAAAAACACTTTTATTCCATTGATCAGTAATTTGACTTGTCAAGTTGAATCGACTCAAATAAAGTCAAATGTTCTTAATTCAAGTCATTTTAACTTACATAGATATTGTTTTTTTTCCAGTGTAGAGCCTGTTGTGATTTTAGTGGTTATAAAAACTTTTCTTCTGATTTGCAGTAATCCCAACTGTAATATTTAAATAATTTTGGCATATATTCAAAATAAATGTGCAAATCATTCAATAAATGTGTAAATCATTCAAGCTGCATGAAAAAAAGAAACTTTTGGGTGTGGGTGTGCGTTAATTTCTCCAATAAAAATAAACAGGAGAATAAAGTTTATATTGAAATAGAACTGCCCATGTATTTCCACAGTCAAATAAACAGAGAATTCCTGCAGGGACGTGCCTGTTGTGCTGCTTCATGAAGTACAATGGCGCCCTCTAGTGGATAATAGTGAGTAGGCAGTGATGTGACATTACTGTGGCTCCATGTTGTGGACTAGAGCTGTGGCCTGAACGGCTCTTGTCTCATGCAGATATTGCTCTGGTTTAAATGTTCCAGCATTCCATTATGTTTTTATTGCTAAGGAAAGGCTCACCTCTGCACAGATCTGACCTGTAACTTAGCCTGATGCTATCATTATGTTTTCTGTGACTATAAGAGGACACGTCTAATGCCACACTCTGGAACTCTGTGAGCAAAGGAACAACTATTTTAGACCTGAGCACATTTAGTGATGTGAAGTAGTCTAAATGATAAATATTCTCTTATGTTGAACACAACAGTGAACATTCAGTCAAACGTAACCGTGTTCCTCGAGTTTTGGCGCCTGTTTTGGTGTTGTGGCTCTAATTAACGCAGGAATTACACTTTGGTTTTAGCGCAGTCTTCTGATGGCTCTTTCCTCTGCTCTGTAGATCTGTCATGTCCTCACTAAAGGGAGGTGTGTGTGGAGGTGTGTGTGTGCTCACCTCTGCAGATGTGTACTCCTCCCCCCTCTGCTCCTCACCTCACGTCCTCTGGAGAGGCTGAGCTACAGAGATAAAAAAGAACACACAGCAAAAGAAAAGTTCAGTTTAGTCCAGTCAAGTTTTCGAGTGATGATGTTCTGCCTCGTCTAGTGGATTCTTTAGTCTACAGTCGTCTGCAGTACTTTTCCAAAGGCTCCAAGAGCAGAACTAATGCATCCTGTACTCAGCAGTAACCCGCTGTTATAGCCACAGCTGCCCTGGGGCAGACTGATAGAAGTAAGTCTGCTAATCTGCACCACCAATCACACACCACAGTCTGGGTTATGTGGGTGTCTTGCCCAAAGACACAACACCAGTTTGCATTAAAGTCATTGCTGTCAGTGGCAGCAGAAGTGTCCCAGTGACTCCAAGAAGAATCTAAAAACCAGAGGGAGCAGCTCAGCCCTGTCAGAAGAGACAGAGACAAGAGACAAGAGGACCTGAGCACAGTTTAAAGGAGACATAACAACAACAGACATGTTAATTCAGAGAACACACATGTAGAAATACTTCCAGACTGTTCAAGAATAAAACAACTAAGTTTCATTATAATTGTAGCCAAACTTAAAACCATCTCATGTTGGCTGTAGTTTCTGTCTGTATCACTCTTGAAACACTTGTGGAGCTTTTATGGATCAGATGACACGCTCTGTTGCTCCCGCAGTGAGGCCCCAAGCCCCTGGAGACTTCAAACAGCTTGGATCAGGTGAAGAGGGGGAGGGGCCCTCATGGAAGTCAACCTGTTTAAAGCTCATACAGTGACACTGAATGTAAATATAACAGTGTATTTGTAATGACAAATGTATATATATATGTGTGTGTGTGTGTGTGTGTGTGTGTGTGGGGGGGGGGGGGGGGGGGTATGAATATATAGATATATGGACTCTGAGTCAGAGACATGATGATCAAGCACCATCTGTTTGACTAAAAAAAAATACAAATTAAAATGCTTTAAAGTATTTTAAACATTTTAAACTTGATATGTTTGTGGTGCAGGGTGCATCTTATGGAGATGCTTTTGCTTTGTCTGAAATGTTACACAGTATCACATTAACTAATCAATCTCTAATTTATTCAAAGACAACCATTTCTTATTTCTTTTTCCAGCTGCTTGTCTCCATGGAAATTTACAATTTTCACACCATAATATAGGCCCAACATTATTATTGATTTGGTTCATTTATGAGACGGGGACAGTGCACAGTCTACATGAAGTTTAACTGGAGAGGAGCACGTGTCAGGCTGTAGCACTGGAGCTCACATCCACCTGTCGTCCCTGGTGCATGTTTTTTATTTTATTTCCCAGTTAAAAGGGACAAGAGACTGACCATCCACCAGAAAAAAGTTACTTATAGCACATTTAATTCATATGACATGGTACTCCAGCCTAACCCAGATGCCAACTAAACTTAGATTGAAACTACTGTCAGGAGAAATAACTAGACTCAGCTGTTTTGTATAATCACTTCTGTATTTCAAGTCATGTGAAGATCAGGGCTCTGCTCACAGATACATGACTCAGACTCACAGATACATGTCCAGAGAACGTTAAAAGTTCAAAAAAGTTTATTGTCAAGTCTTCATACGACAAACATATAAAGAACTGAAATTGTGTTTCTCAGTCCCATGTGTATCACTGAACAATAATAAATAAATAAATAAATGATATTCAATTTATCTAATAGCAAATGACCTGAACAGGGATGTGCTGAGTCATGACTCGTCACACTGATCAGACCAACAAGATGCTCCAGTGATGGGAGTAAGACACAACACTTCTGAAAAATGCTCGTCGCTGTCTGATGCAAAGTGCTAAGGCTGGTCTGTGCACCAACAAAGAGTCACTAGTCTAAAGTCTAAACCAGTGGTGCTCAATACATCGATCTCGATCTACCAGTCGATCGCCAAGGTCGTGTGGGTAGATCTCCGTGTCTCGTCTCGGACTCGTGTTTGGACTCGGTCTTGTCTCTCACTCGAGGTCTGACACTCAACAAATGTGATCATATTTCATTCCGGCCGCTGCTGTTGGTAATAAACTTGTAGCGGGTGCAGGAGCGTGTGGGGCGTCTCAGTGCAGCCTGTGCGCTCATTTGAAACCCGCGGAGACTCTACGGCGCATCACAAACAC